TCCGAAGACATAAAGAAATGAACGGAGCTAGATTTGTTGAAACTGATCTCTTGGGGTAAAAACTGTGTTGGTCAGGAGAAATGTAATTTCTGCAGCTAGAGAATAATGCGTCGTTGATGATGATTTCGAAAACTTTGGAGCAGGCACTGAGTGATGTGATCCCTCGGTAATTTTTGACGTTTCTCTTGTCTCTTTTCTTGTAGATCGGGAACATGAATGACGATTTCCAACGCGTAGGGAACTCCCCCTGCTGTAATGAAATATTGAACAGCTTCGAAAGCGGTGTTGTAAGCTCTGAACAGCATCGCTTCAGGATGCTTGAGGGGATCCCATCAGGGCCAGCAGCATTAGAAAATTTCAGCTTCTTGATGGCGGATTCGACGAGGTCTACTGTAACCGAGGTAATCGAAAAATTGAAAGCATCACTGGGAGTGTCCCTCACCGCTTCAGCAACTTGGAACGAAGCCGTAGTGTCATTGAAAATGCTTTTGAAATGTTCTGCCAGAAGATTGCATTTCTCAAGGGAATTGCTCCCGATTCTATCACCCAGGTGAATTTCGACTGGTAGCCCCTCCTCGTTTCGTTTGGTATTCACGAATGACCAGAACTGCTTTGGATTAAGCCGTAAATTAGCCTGCACACGCCTTGTGTAGCTCTTGTAAAGAATGCGGTTATATGTGCGATATTCGTTGCTCGCTGTTGAAAATAATCGTTTAGTGAATGGTCTACGAGTACGACAGTATTTACGGAGGGTCTTCGATCTCAGACGCTTCAAATTCCATAGTCGAGCATTGGACCATACGGGTTTGGGAGAGGGTGTTCTCAATGGGACAGAATCAGTTATTGCTCGGCCAACGACCTCAGCGAAGTAGTTGACGGCTTCATCAATAGATGAACACGTGTCAAGGAACTGCCAATCTGCCTGGGCAAGCGAGTGGCTCATGTACATCAACAGGGGGGTTATCGTAGCGAACAGGAACAGATAGGTTGATGGAAACTTCCAACGCAGGATGATTGGTGTCGATGCCAATCAAAGGCTCTGGGGCTTCTAGGATAGAACATTCCAGTCCTACAGCTTCGTTCGCCAGAACGAGATCAAGCCGCCGAGAGTTGCTATTCAGTATCGAGTTGATTTGCGTTAAGCCATGCAGGTCGAAACCATCAAGGAGAGTACAGCATAATGCGGGCATGTTCGAGCGAAGAACATCAATGCTAGGAAAATCGTTTCCAGGAACGTTCCATGAGAGCCCAGACTGATTGTAGTCACCAAATATCAGAGCTAGGTCGTTTTGTTCTAGTCGAGAGAACACGGTACCAATCGAACTGATGTGGTTTGCAATGCTGCTCGAATCAGATTTCCGGTCTGGAGGTAGATACATAGCGCCAATACTTATTGATCTACGAGGCGTCGTTATTTTGATCCACAGCTGCTCTAGAGAAGTGCAAACTGGAGCAGGATCGATGCAGGAGCTTAGGCGTTTGGATACCACAATCAAGACGCCTCCCCCACGCGATTTGGTACTATTATGGTGGTTGTGGTCGTTTCGAAATACCGTGAATAGACTGCCAAATAATTGAGATGAATTAATGCGTTCATCGAGCCAAGTTTCCGTAAGAACTATGACATCGTAGTCAGAGTCAACGGCAGTCAGGAAAAAATCATCAATCTTTGTTCGCAGGCCACGAACGTTCTGGTAATACACCAACAGGCGGTCGAACGAAGTCGGTTGGAGGTCTGCAGAATGATCGATCAGCCGAAACGAGCATGGTGGTACTCTGGAACACAGAGACGGATTAGGAGAAGAACTGTTTTCAACAAACGCATACTTGCCTGATGTAGAAGGTTGGAAGACCCCTTCACCATTCTCAACCACAGGGCCAGAACGACTACGATGACAGGAATCAGCAAGCGCGACTGGGTTGAGTGACTCAGGGGCTTCCTTGAGGCAGCAGGCAACGCGTTTTGGTCTGGGATGTTCCAAAACGTGGCGAGCAAGATCCGGTGCAGTGCCCGTTCCGCCGGGTGTGCTGGTTCTTCTAAAGAACTTAATTTTACTGAAATCGACTTCCCTTCGGTCGTTAGCATCGCTTGAATTTTCCCTCCTACTTCGTTTATTTTTCGAGATATCCTTGTCATAAATTTAATAAAAATCGCTAATGAAGTTTATGATTGATTTAAAGAACAGTTTTATGGTGCACACTTAGAAATAACTAATCTTACACGTGACGGAATCCATCTTTGACATAAAATATGAGACGTAAACAAACAAGTCATGTAATATTAAGTGCTCCGAGACTGAAAAGTTCGTTACTCGACGAAAAGTACGTTTGATTAAGCAATATTTCGCGTTTATTATGACTCAATTTTATGTCGAAATTGACGCTCGTATATGTCACTCTCAGAGCACCTAAATTTACATTAATTTTTCTAAGTGTGTGGGATTGAGAGCTACTTTAAAAACAAGACAGTTATTGACTTCTCGCCAGACTGTAAAGGTTTTTAAAACAGCGAAAATGTGAACTCCTAAGCAGGAATATTTTACACTGTGAAATGCAGTATTTAAACTAAATGGATTGTTCATCTCCCTTATCCATCATAAATCAAAGTGAATGCCAAATGATTGCAGAATTGTTACTTGGATGGCTAGTGTTAAATAATTCAGTCTGCTAGTTTTATAATTATATTGTAAATTTTTAAAAATAAAATTTTCATGCTCAAAGTCTGGAGCAGAAGAAAAACAGCTTCAGGCTTTTTCAGTGAAGTGAAAAGGTAAGGAAAAATCCAGAAAAATCCATCATGTTTTACGCATATCAGTTGCTTATATGATTTGCCAATAAGAGTAAAGAGTAACACATTCGTCGTAGGTGCAAAACTACTATTTATAAACATAACAATCGAATGTTAACAGTCATGGAAGTGGTACCAGAAATATTATAAAATTCTGGTGGAAATGTGTTTGGAGTGTGTCGAACTGTTTTTTGGAGTGTTAAACACAAGGTGGCAGAGCAAGTTACCCCTTGGTGAGGACCGAAAATGTTTGAAATTCAAAGCTGCTATTCAGGAAGTCTACAGTGCAACTAAACAGTATTTGGAGAAGTTGACGGAATCTCTTTCTGATCCCAGGGTATGAGCATAACTGCATTAAATAATTCACAATGCTTAATATTTGGTTGTTTCTATGTGTTCCAGTGTCTTGAGTTCCAAAATCCGACGGTTAAGTATGAAGACTTTGAGAAAACTGCTTTGCTCCTGAAAGATAAAGATGTCTATTAGTTCGACTACCTCAAGAAGTTGTTGAGCTTGGTAGAGCCAGAATATTACAAGCAGAATTACAATAAGAAGTTGCGTGATATTTTTTAGTAGCTATCTGAATATCGCTGGCTGCTCAGAAGTTTTGAAGCTAACTAAGTACTTTTTGACCATACCAGGACACAACGCAAACTGTGAGCGTATTTTTACTTTGATTGGATCTCAGTGGAGTGAATAAGAGGAATCGTCTTACGGTAGAAACGGAAAAGCATCTATCAAGTCTCAAATTGAATTTGAATTATTTTACTTGTGTCGAATTTTTCAAGAATTTACTTTTGCCTTGGTAATTCGAAATCACTCGAGATGATTGAATCGTCCGGGAAATATGACAAATAGACTTGCCATTTCGAAGTATCGATGTATTCAGTATGAATGTTTGTTTTTAAATAACACTTGTTCGTATTTTGATCAACTTTTAATAAAAAAAAAATCAGAAAAATATTATACTTTTTTATAAACTGTTTCATTTTCGTAGGTAGAAATTCGGGTAGAAACCAACATTTATTAATGGAGTAAATCTCTTTAAAAGGTTCTTGCTAACAATTTCAAAATGTTCTGATTTTCAACCTTCACCAGATGGTATTCCTAGCCTTAAACGCTGTCCAGACTGGAGAGTTATAACATGTTATAACGGTTGTCAAATATTTGCAACACAGAAATCACCATCAAGATAGCGCTATAACATGTTATAACTCTGTAGTCTGAACGTACTATTAGCTAACTACTCTATGCGAGGCCCGTTGCATAGCATTCCAGCCGAAAGACCCCTCACCAAACACTTGACATAAAGAATCATTCTCGTCGCCAATTTCGAATCCACCCCTACGTCGTCAAAACTTTACCACAATCATCCCCCAACCGTGTATATGTACACATTTTCCCATTGCGAAAAAGGGAAATCAACCCCTCAGCACACGCACACAGGGAAACCCTACAACCCCGAACGGCACAATCACCACCGAGCGAAGCGAGTTCACAGCACAGCCAACCACGGCAACCGTGCGCATTTCACCCGACCCGACTCCTCACAAGCAAAGGGAAAAACTCAACTTTCCATCGAGCGACTCCATTTTCTCGTTTTCTCGCGACTCCACACACGACACGGCTCCTAACGGAGGTACCTGTACTGGTCTGCTCGACTTCGACTTCATTGGCAAGGAGCGCAAGGAGTTGGACGATGGTGATGGTGATTGACTGTTGTGGCAGCAGCAGAGAATTTTGCACCCTCGTCGACGGTCGTCGGTTCTAGTGTCCGGAACGGAAGAGAGCAGGAAGAAGCGCAGAAAATGAATCCAGGTAGGCCGAGTAGCAGAATCACCACCGTAGTTTAGTGCACCCCGCTTGCTTAGATCTCACACTTCCCGTTTGGGGGTAAATGGTGGGAAGGAAGGAAAAAAAAAGGACTGACTGTGTGTGCCTGCCATCCTTGCTGCTTTCAATGGCCTCCACCAAGTGCGAAACCGTGATGGCAGGGGGCTCCCCCTCTCGAGTGCGAGTGTTTTTCAAGGGGTTGTAGTATTTGTCTTTTCCGTGAAAAAAAGGGGACGAAGAGCAAGGCAGGTGTTCTCGGAAGAAAGAAAAAAAAATGGACTGAAATGGACTTTTACCACAATTTCCCAGTGCCTGCAACCATCCTAGTAGCCCGTCAGTGATCTGTGTTTTTTTTTCCTTCCGTGGTGTCCCTTCGATGGAAAATATGACGAAGAATCTCGTGTGCGTGCGTTTGTGAGGGAAAACGACGATAAAGGGAGGGGGAGAGCGCAGGAAATTATGTAAATCCCAACAACCAGCGAAGGGACGGATCATCAACAATTCAATGCACCTGAGGAAAAGTTCATTGCTACAGTGAGCCAACAACAGTTAGTAGTGTGTAGCGCATATATCGTGAATACGGGGGAAAAATGGTGGTCAAAACAAGTTGGTGAATGAAACTCTGTGTGTGCGCCTCTCGTCGTTCATTTTCGGAGGAAGATTTTCTTCGTCCCTTTAAAAATGGTGACAGGATTGTTTTTGTTTTCTTTTTTTTTTCTCGCGAATAGTGTGCGCCTATGAGTAGGCATAGATGATCTGAGGATAGTGACGGAAGAGGATACGCAATTCCAGAATGGTCTATCATTGGCTATTGAGCTATGTGTGTTACGGTTTGACAGCAGACTTGAGCGCATAAGTGAGTAGTTCGGTGTGCCCTGGATGTGAAAGTGAGAATAAACTGCGGATTAGGGGTTTCTATTTGCGGTGGATTAGCGCCTATTAGTACATATCGTGAGAAACGGACGTGTATTGCTAAATGTGTGTGTGCATTTGAAGTTTGAATGGGCTACTGCTGAGCATGGAGGATAGCCATCAAAGCAAGCTTGGATGGTTTTGTTGTTATTCGTTTGGTGGATGTTTGTTTTACTAAAGTCAGTGCGAGTTTCATCATTTTCAGTTCGAAACACGTGAAACATTTAGGCTAAGTGATGGTAACTGCACTTTGAGGTCGCTTGGCATGGAGTTACGCGGTACCCAGGTACCCGGGTAGAGGGAAATAGCAAAACCAGTGCAAAATATTATCAAATTTAACTATAATTATCTTATTATATTATTGGTAAGTTGTGCGCTATAACAAGTTAGTAGCTTAGGCTGCAATCAAAGCATAATTTGCTATTGTTATTATATTTTGGTACCGTGAATTGATGGACTGATTTTGATCAGATAGCTGAATAAGCTATTAATATGTCAATAAATGGATTAGTTTTATCAAATTACCAATTAATGAGATATAATAGTAAAAAGTGATATTATTTGCTATGATTTTTGCTAATCTTTAGATATGGTAACAACTGGCTTTGATATTTCTGAGTTATGATCCCATAGGTTGTCCCTCTTAAATCAATCAAACTAATAACAATTTTTGATGTTCTGCTTCCCAATTTTAATAGTAAAACTTGCTATTGAATTGATATGCTCGTCTACTCGGGTAACCACTTAGCACTTAGCTGATAACGTGCTGTGTTAATGCTGCTTGATTACCTGGGTATTTTATTTCCTGTAGAAGATGCACATGACCTACTGAGTGCCTACACCACAGAGAACAGGCGTCGAACTAAATTTCTGTAAAAACTTGTGTAAAGATTCCTATTCGGCTTAAGCACCACCAACGCCGACTTACCCACTTAAAAACCCTCTTTGACAACATGATGGCGCTGGCGTTGCACAACTTACACTAGACACTAAGTGCCGGTAGTGCCAAGTGGTAATTTTCAACCGAAAATGTAGCGATACTAGCGTCAAATTGGATGAAAGGGGGTATAGGCCTTTCTATAGGTGAACATATTAGTTCAGAATTATCTCACTACTAGGTGCCAGTGTGCATCTGAACTTTCTCTATACTCTGCATCTGTAACCCATCAGCATCTAGAATGTTGCCGTCTGTAGCAAAGTTCTTCAGGAGGTTAATATTGGTATTATCGATATGAGGAGAGCATGTAGATACCGGAAATCAATGCAAGGAGCCAATAGGTTGATTTTCGGTTTCCAAAAATGATGTATTGAGGTATAAAATCTATGCCCAATTATATTTTCAAAGTGCCCCATATCGCAAAACTCAGACATGATATGCCTCACCCCAGCCTACTGTGGTATATTTCACCAACACAGTAGGCCGGGTGATTGTATTACTTAGGTACGAATGTTTTTTTATGATTACTATCAGTCCAGGACTTGCTAAAGCTAACACTCAATTAGGTAACTATTACCGGACTGATTTTTTAAGAATTGTTGGTACCCTCTTCCTTCAGTTGCAATTATATTAACACACCAATGTAGGTACCCCTATCATTACACTCAACTATGGTATGGTCGTGATACCTTGAAAAGGTGATCGGTGAGTTTGATATGTCTTTTACTAGCTATCACGGTATGGCAGTTGTACCCCTTTCTGGTGGTATAAGTCACTAACCGAAGTACATGGGTTTTGGGGACAATTTTTTCATGTTTTTCAGCTCACCTGCGCTGGCTACTTACACACTTATCAAGGTGCTGACGAGGCACAGATGGGCTTCGACAACATTTCTAATAACTATAAAATACATAACTTTGCACAAGAAACCATCCTTGTAGGACCGTCCGTTTAAAATATGCAGCAGTAATATGAAATATTCAGAAAACACCAAAAGTTGGCCCTTACAAACTGAGCAACTTTGTCCAAGACTGCAAATCTGTAGAATGAATACCCACGGCGCTAGACGTTTTAGACACGCTACCGGGTTCCCTGCGCAACTGTGCGGCGAGGTGACCCCCTTATTGCACTCTACCCAAGTAACCACTGTTGTGTCCGGGCCGTCCAGGCTGACCAGGCCTGGAGCCGGACCTCGGGCCAATTTTACCCTTGAGAACGCTCCTCTTCGACATCTCAACCGCTCGTGTATAGATTCGTCGGAAAACTGACTGGAAACTGCAGTGTACTTCATATAAAGGGTGATACGGTCAAAATTTGGTCAAGGGAAAACGCGTGTAAATCGGTGAAATCGTTTATTTAAAAAATCAAATTAAATTTCTTTTTCAAGTTCAATTAGTATAAAATTCAGGAAAAATATTCAGTTGGGCTTCCGCTTTTCTAAATCCGAATTGCCGGGCCTTACGCTTGACCCCTGCTATCAGATTTTGTACAGCCACCTTGTCCACCTTCTTCGCCGCAGAAAGCCAGTTTGCCTTGAACTGCTGCTCGCCCTTAGCAGTTTTTTTGGTCTTCTTTAGGTTCCGCTTGACAATAGCCCAGTATTTCTCAATTGGGCGGAGCTCTGGCGTGTTGGGAGGGTTCTTGTCCTTGGGAACCACCTGCACGTTGTTGGCGGCGTACCACTCCATGGCCTTTTTACCGTAATGGCAAGATGCCAAATCCGGCCAAAACAGTACGGAACAACCGTGTTTCTTCAGGAAAGGCAGCAGACGTTTATTCAAACACTCTTTCACGTAAATTTCTTGGTTGACAGTCCCGGAAGCTATGAAAATGCTGCTTTTCAAGCCACAGGTACAGATGGCTTGCCAAACCAGATATTTCTTTGCGAACTTTGACAGTTTCATGTGCTTGAAAACATCTGCTACCTTTCCCCTTCCTTTTGCCGTATAAAACTTCTGTCCCGGAAGCTGCTTGTAGTCGGCTTTGACGTAGGTTTCGTCGTCCATTACCACGCAGTCAAACTTCGTCAGCATCGTCGTGTACAGCCTCCGGGATCGCGCTTTGGCCGTCGTATTTTGTTTATCATCGCGATTTGGAGTCACTACCTTCTTGTAAGTCGATAGTCCGGCTCGTTTTTTGGCTCGATGCACGGTTGTAGACGATACACCCAGCTTATTTGCGGCATCTCGGAGAGAGAGGTTAGGATTTCGCTTGAAACTACCGGCAACTCTCTTTGTCGTCTCAGCGGCTTCCGGTTTTCGATTTCCCCCCGATCCAGACTTCCTGGCTGTCGACAAACGTTCCCCAAACACTTTAATTACATTTGTAACGGTTGATTTGGCAAATTTTAGCGATTTTGCCAACTTTGCGTGCGAGTAGCTCGGATTTTCGCGATGCGCGAGCAAAATTTTGATACGCTGCTCTTCTTGCTTGGACGGCATTTTGACAACTGAAGAGTGAATTCCAAAATCAAAATAGGAGCAACATTCTACACACACACACCTTCAAAATGAGGGGTGTTCAGGTTTTTTAAATGCAAAATTGAAAGAAATACGTCAAGTTGATATTGACCAAATTTTGACCGTATCACCCTTTACCCTCCTTTTTCTTATTGTTCTTCAGTTGATCAATTCATACACTGGACAAAACCGAGATTTGTTTTATATTTATTTATCAACAGCTTACTTGCTCTTACTTCCTACAACCACCAAGCCCGATAACTACCCGATAATCGCCCTTTTTGCGATATAAGGTAAATATAGGGTTTCCGAACTTTATATCTGCCGTATGTACCAAAAAGGGCGATTAACGGGCTTGTTGGTTACTTGGGTATGGCATAAGGGTTTTAGGATCTGGTGGCTTGGGGTAATGTTCTACGTGCTTAGAGTACCGATAGATAACTACGCGGGAAATATTTAGCTAAGCCATGAACCCCCATACAAAAGTTATGAATTGGTTCGTGTCTGATCTATACTGGACAAGTTATTTTTATCTAGATCAAAAAATCCTATGCTTTTGACAGTTCGGATCACTGCACATTTAAATCGGCCGTTTGCGATTTTCGAGCAAAAGTCAGAATTAAGTGTCATGTCGGTTTGTCGGTGGTAAAAACTCCGGAATCGAATAACCACAGCAAATTTAGTGAAAAGTGGAAATTTTGATGATTGTTTTTTTTTTCGAGCATCACACTCTAGTGCATGTGTGTGTGCATTATTTGTAACGCTTTTATCATATTTAGTTCCGCTTCTAATCATGGTAAAAGATCCCAGATCGATTCACCACAGCCCGAGCTATGGAATGCCGCGCATAACCTTGCTTGTAAACTGGCCCTCTCAGAGCTCGACCATTCTACCGACTGCGTTCTACAAAAAGCACTGGAGTCATGATCTTGATGTTCTATAGGATTCATGTGGTTTGATACGCACAATCCTGACATCATCTGACCTCTGCAAAGCTTCATAATCATATTTGCATCATAGAATGGTAACAATGAGCTATTTAATCAAGGGGTAGGTCACTCCGCACACTAATCTTGGGTCATCTTTTTTGTCAGTGTGCCGCATAGAGCAAGCTGAGATTGTTACACATCCCAGCCACCCGATATTTCTGACACCTTGAATGTTTTGGTTTGAAATCTCAATTGAAAAAATACTCGTACGGTAAGAAAAAATACTCAAAATTAAGTTTAAAAAAAAACTCAACGTTGGGTTCTATCATTTGAGGTCCGCCGTTGAGTGAATTAGAAAAGCGGCGTTGGTTAAAATTTACTCAACTATTGAGTAATAATAAATGAACTCAAATATAAGTTTATTTTCATTGAGGTTGCTCTTATGCGCCTTTAACCATTTCATTTTCACAAGCGTTGATAGACGAGTGGTCAACACACGGGCCCCGTAATCTCAACGTCCATGGTTCGGTTCCAGTCTGCTCCATTTTATTATTTTTTTTGTCAACTTGGTCAACGTGGATTCATGATCAGGATTACTCAAAATTGAGTTTTCTTCTTT